GGGGGGGGGGACGCGGTGGCGAAGGCTGATGACGGCTCCGATTGCGGGTAGAGGATCGCGGGAGGTCAGTCGAGGTCTCCGAGCTACGGGTTTCAAAGCGCTGTCGCGAACCTTCCTGTTTAACCAGTTTAAACTCACGATCTATTTCCCTTAGCTACAGATATCTGCTTACCGTCTGCCCGCTGCCTTTCACCCCCGGGCTGGTCAGTGAGCCAAACACCATTATTATTACTATTTCGTGGTCTTTATTTTGGCGTGATCTCAAGCTTACGGAAAATTTCAAGACTGTTCTTATAAAGAACTCCTGTATACTTAATTTTCCAATTAAGTTAGTTGCAGATATGATGCCCCTTTGCCTCTATATTTATAGGTACTTCAGTGTGTATTTTCTAAAAACAAGGACATTCTCCAACATTCAAAATCAGGTAACATCGATCAAGACTATTATCTAACCTGTAATCCGTACTTAAGTGCTTCCAGTTGTCCTAGTAATGCCCTATGTTGAAACTACCTTTTTCTCTGCCAGGGCTCCTATCTAGTATCGCAGGATGCATTCGGCTGTCTTGTCTCTTTGGCCTCTTTCAGTCTGGAGCAGCTCCCCAGTGTTCCTTGACTCTGATGACTGACATTTTTCAAGATTCCTGGCCGGTTTTTTGTAGATTTGGCTTTGGGGTTGTCTAAGATATCTTAGCTGCTAGACTCTTATGGACAGAGTTGGTGCTGAACACATTCAGAGGCTGGGCGTGTGTCTTGGGTGACTGAGGAGGACCAGCGACCAGCCACACCAGCCTCCAGACACGCTCCCAGGCCTAGCTAGGCCAGACCCTTTCTGTGGTTGCCTCCCCTCTGGGGTTTTACACTCATCTCACTGAGGTCTCTGGCTTTCCTGTAGCATCCATCCCAGAGCCATGGTCCATGCCTTCCTCATCCACACCTTGCGGGCCACGAAGGCTGAGGACGGCCTTTGCCGAGTGCTCTACTCCTGCTTCTTTGGTACCGAGAATTCACCCAACGACCCACAGCCACATGGTGCTGAGAGGGACAGGCTTCTCCGAAAGGAGCAGATTTTGGCTGTGGCCAGGTAACACAGTCCAGCCCATTGAATACACACCGATTATGATAGGTTTTCTGGGGGGGCACAGAGAAACGGGAGGACTAAGAAGCAGAGAGAAAGTTTTAGAGTAGTGCTTTCAAAGAGTCTTCCACAGTTGTCACAAGTATTATATGAAAAAGGGTTAAAGACATAATAATGCTATTATCATCATCATTTATTATAGTTAGCATTTATGGTAATTTTTTTGTAGTTAGCATTTATTGAGCCTGTATGTACTAAGCATCTTATGTTCTGAGCATTTCGTGTATATGAACTCATTTTATCTTTGAAACAGTCTTTTGAGGTAGGTACATTATCCCCACCTTACAGATGAGTAAACTGAGCTACAGAGAGTTAAAGAAATTTAACCTGTCTAAGGTTATGCATCTAGAAAGTGAAAGAGTTGGGATTTGAGTGTAAGCAGTACAAATTAAATATGCTTTGCAGTGCAGGACTTTTCAGGGCCCTCAGTGTGCCTTTAAGCTTTATGAATCTCTAAGGAGGAGAGAGAATGTGGTTTATGGGAATCTGTGCCAAGAGCCTCCCAAAAGCCCAGGATCCACAGGGTACAGTTGGGAAACACTGTTCTAGATGGGATGGCTGACCTTGGACCTTCCCCTCCCAGACCCAGTCTGAACCAGCAGGTGCCAGAATCTCCTGGCCCCTCTGTGTTTTGGGTGGGGGGGATTAACACTCTGGGGCAACCCTGGGCCAGCCTCTTGTTTATCTCTGTTCTGCTGGGCCTCCTCCCCCTTATGTGGCACAGAAAACCAAACGTGTCTTTAAGAGCAGCCTGTACATGGCCCAGATTGGAAGGTGATTCATGAGAGATAAGAGAGTAATTTCAAAAGCCTGGATGTCCAAGTGAAAGGTTTTTCTTTTTTATTTGGAGAGGGCTGCAGGATGGGGTGAGGGTGGAGAGGTTGGACAGCCTGGGTTGGACATAGATTTTACTCCACTTCTCATCTCTTGTTGAGATGTTGAGGAGGCCTCTGTGAAGCAGGTAGGGGCAGGATCTTCATCCCCTGGTGCCTTTTCCCAGCCCAAGGAGCTGTGTTCAGAACCTGCCTTCTCTTGGCCACATGGAGTGAAATGGTTCAGGGCCTGGAGGCTGGAGCCTGGATTCCCATCTGGGCTTATGCTCCCTGCTCTGTGGCCCTGGGCAGGTCACTTCACTTAGTCTTTCTGGGGCTTGGTTTCTGCATCTAGTTATGGGGATAATGGCAGCTCCCAGCTCCAGGGGTGGTCCTGAGGGTGACAGGTCAGTGACCCACCTATTCTCTACAGGCAGGTGGAGTCCATGTGCCAGCTGCAGCTGCAGGCGTGCGGCCGGCCTGCTGTGGACCTGCAGCCCCAGTCCTCAGATGACCCAGTGCACCTGCATGAGTCCCCATGTGGGGCCTTCCGCCTGACGGCAGGGGACCCTTTCCAGGAGCCTCGGACAGTGGTGTGGCTAGGCGTGCTCTCATTAGGCTTCGCCCTGGTGCTGAATGCCCACGAGAACCTGCTGCTGGCAGAGGGCACACTTCGGCTGCTGGCCCGCCTTCTCCTTGAGCACCTCCGGCTGCTGGTCCCCACTGCCAACCTCCTGCTGCGGGCTGACTGCATCGAGGGCATCCTCGCCCGCTTCCTGCCCCATGGTCAGTTGCTCTTCCTCAATGACCAGTTTGTCCAGGGTCTGGAGAAAGAATTCAGTGCTGCCTGGCCCCGCTGACCCCTCAATGGGATGGGACTCCCTAAGGGCAAGGAGGGAGGATGGGGATGGACGGATATACAGCCAGGTAAAATTTGGCATCTGCCTCTTTCCCAGCCTCCTCCCAGCTCTGGTGGGCTGCCACACCCAGGACAAATGGATGGGACAAGCTGGCAGAAAAGGGGGCTGGGGAGAGGGTAGAGAGGAGGAATCACAGAGCTTCCTAGGCCTGGAGTGACCTCGTGACTTATTCAGACTGCTGAGGCGGCCAGCCCCGCTTGTCCTTGACCTCACTTTCTCCCATCCCTGCCAGCCAGCCCCAAATAGTCCACCAGCCACTAGTGCTGGGGCAGTAAGGAATGGCTGCTTGGAACTCAGCTCACTTTCTTCCACACCCATAGTCATCGCAGTGCAAAAGGAGTCTCTGAGATTTCGAGGGTAAGGGAGCTGGCTTCTGCCTTTGCACCTACTTAGGCGCCATCATCAAGGTTTTTGTTGGTGAGGGCCTGCTCAGTGTCCAGCCCCACCACAGTTCACATAGGTGTGAGTTGTTCAGTAGAGAGGCTCCATAGCTCCTTTTGGCCCCAGCCCATGCCCACGGGCAGCCATGAGATAATCATGGACTTACTTTGTCTGCAGGGAGAGAGGGTGGTGTCAGGTGAGAGAGGTCTGATGTTGTCCTTCTCATTTTGAATTAAAAGCACTGAGTGTGTGATTTCACCCTCTGTTTCTGTGAGTTTGATTAATTCACATCTTTTCCTGTGCCACTCTGAGCTGGGTGTCTGAGCCTTCATGGTCAAGTATGTCCCCAAGAGACTTCTTGGGAGGTTCTCCACCTCTTGTCCCCCTCATCACTTCTGTCTCCTTAAATGCCTCCTTCGGATGGTAGCACTTGCTTCCTCTACCAAAATGTGGTGGGTTGGTGTGGATCCCTGAGAAGCAGAGCCTGAGACAAGGATTAGGTACAAGCAGTTTATGTTGGAGGTGATCCCAGAAAGCACTGGAAGGGGCGGCAGACCATACAGGTGTGTTATCAAGGGTAGGTAGGGAGCTAAGTGCACTAAGTGCCCCTGGGGGCCAGTACACAGCAGTCACCTCTGAATGACCTCACCTGAGGGGTGAAGGACTGTGGGTGTTCGTCTGGAACCCCCTTCCGTCTGATTGTGAGTTGGTCCCAAGGCAATTCCCTGGCTTTTTCTGCCCCCACAAAAAGCCCTTGGGCCTGCCTGCACCGTGGTCAGGCCCAAAAGGTTATGGATGGGGCACCCAACTGCTGTTCGGGAGTCTTTACTCAGTAGCTCCTAGTGATGGTTTAAAATGATTCAGTTGGATAAAACCTCAGTTATATCTATTTTCACGATCTACTTGTGAACTGTGAGGTATGGCTTTCTTGCATGGGCAGAACGGGCCTCCTCCTAGGTGGTCAGTGTGCAGGTGTGGGCCTGGTCTCATGTTTGCCAAGTATTAGTTGCCCTTCGGCACCCAGGAAGAACCCACCCACACTCACTTAGGAGGCAGCCCCTGTGATTGGAGTTTTGCCCTTCCAATTCTGCAGCGAAGGCCATCAGCCATGCCATGCCTTCCATCACCACCATCACTACTAGGACAAGGCCACCTTCTCCATCCTAGGGTGCCACAAATCACCCTCTGACCTTGAAGCACTAAAGGGACCTCAGTCTGTATTTGTGGCAAGCTGTGCCACTGGAAATGTCCCAGAGGCCCCCAGTGGGACACCCCTGCCCTGTAAAGTCTGCTTTCTTCGCCTGCTACTCCCCTCACTCCAGGCTGGTGGTCCTTGCCGAGTGGCTGTATTCTCACAAGAACAGGCCCCTCTGACTTCGGTTGAAGGGCTCAAGCTTGGGTGGTCTGAAACCTTTCTGCCTAATTTTCAAACTGAACTTGAGGAAGAGGGTGAGACCCTATTCCCCTAGAAGCCGTGGGAAATTGGGGTTAGGTGAGGCTTGTGGTGAGGCTTGAGGTGAGGCTACTTCCATCAAGTAGAGGAAACTGATACACAGAGAATGGCAGAGAGTGAGATCCTTCCCCGAGGCCACTGAGCCCCTGGTTTCCGTGGTTCCAGATGCCCAGTTAGTACCTGGGTTTCTTTAGTCATTCGAGTTTGCCCAGTGCCCTTTCTTTATATTCCCACTTTTGCCCCAGTACCTCTGAGCCGGGTTTCCACCACAACTTCATATGCTTGCTTCACTTTCATCGAGCCTGCCTTGGCCCTGACACTCTGCTAGGTGCTATGCATGGTATAAGATGACTTGCTAGGATTTTGATTGGGAATGCATTGAATAGATGAAGATGAAGTTGGGAAGAACTGACATCTTGACAATATTGAGTCTTCTATCCATGAACAGGGAATATCTCACCACTTATTTAGTTCTTTGATTCTTTCATCGGAGTTTTGTAGTTTTCCTTAAGGAGATCTTGTACACATTTTGTTAGATTTATATCTAAGTATTTCATTTTTGGGGGTGTTAATGCAAATAGTAATTTTTTTTTTTTTTTTGCAGAACGCGGGCCTCTCACTGTTGTGGCCTCTCCCATTGCAGAGCTCAGGCTCCGGACGCGCAGGCTCAGTGGCCATGGCTCACGGGCCCAGCCGCTCTGCAGC